TCATGCATCGATATGCGTGATTGGTGACACGAGGATCGAAGACTACACTCCCTGAAGAGTAGTCATGCATACATATGTGAAATACTTTGCCATGCCCCTTTGTTGCACTCTGTTGCAGTAAATCAAAAATCAGCGGCCTTCTGGAGCGTTGCGCAATATTCCGAAAACAATTGCAAACAGAGGCAAACCGGGGCATCGTAATGGATTTCTGCGCAAGGCAACTCGAGCATGCATCATTCATCATTTGGAACAGGGCTGAGGCGTTCCATGGATTTGCGTGCTAATTTACCTGCTTTCCTAGATTAATTTGCTAATTAATTAGGATTTTGTATATATTCAGACTGTATATTTATTCGGACTGTATTATTCTTTCGGACCCTCCGAGCGAGGGCAATGCTGTAATAAGTGTGCGTGCGTGTGATGCATGTCTTCCAACCCCACATGTTTCTCCCTTTTATTTACCTGCTTATGATGGTTAGATTAGGGCATGTTCAATTAGCATACTTATGCTTGCATGTTTGCATCATTCATCTGTCTTGCATGCACCGGGCTCGGCGCACCATACTAACTGCATTTGTATTTCAATTCCAAGTTGAATACGTGTTAGCTGTAGCATTTCATATGCCATCTTAGAATAGCCGAGCCTATCTTAGTTGCATTTTGCATGTGTTGCATTAGGCATTTCTGTATAGTTAGATGGAAAAAGTCTTGTTTTGACATCCTCTTCAAGTTTTGTTAAGGTCCCATTTCTGTTTGGGGTCATCTTCCCCCTATGCATGCCGTGTGAGTGACTGCCATGATAGCGTGCTTACCATGAGGCTAAGTGCTTATATGATTATACTGTCTAGTGCCTGTGGGTGAAGGTTGGGTTATTTGAATTGGAACAATTCATTAATTGTGGAGTTTTAAGCCCACTAAGTGGCAAAATCATGTTTTCTAGCCCACCGAGGGTGACAAATCCACGTCTTAGCCTACTTGCGGTAGCACCATCAAACCGTTTTCAAATAAACAAACATGAAATGTTTGTTCCAATTCAGGCGACCCAGTCTATACTTGTTAACTGTGCGCTCACATAGTAAATCTAGGCTAATAACCGGAATAAGAACGCATAATGTTTTCAAAACTAGATTATCATGGTTAGTAGAGGCCGATCTTTGATCGGGCGAGCAGGGGTGCTCACGAAGTGACCTTCCCCAATCGTACCCAAGTTCCCGAGCCGAGGCAACTTTGGTGATGACGGACACGTGGCCTTGGGCAACGAGCCAGGGTTTCCTAAATTTTCCAAAATAAAATATTTAGGTGGCGACTCTGTATCTGGAAAAGCAGTCCATGTTTGGCACTTCTTTCAATAAATCTATTTTTCAAAAACGATTTGCCGGATTTGGACTCTTTGATGATTCATCGGTCTTGCATTGCACTCCGCGAGATTAGATACAGGACCGTGACAATGAGTCCTGAACTGTAGTGAGCCCAATGAACAAAATGGGAGGGGGATTTCCTCCCAGGAGGTTCGGGGACGTCTACACATAGCAGCCTTGAAAATATCAAAACCAACATCATCAACTGAATCAGAAAGAATGAAACAGAAGAAACAGAAAGTCGAAATGACTAGTACTTCGACAACTTCTACGAATGAAAAACCTAGGGCGAAAACTGTGAACAAAGAAAGTCGGTGGAGCAACGTGATCAACAATATACCTATCTGTAGAGAATGTGGGAAACAACATTGGGGCATTTGTCGCCGCCTGTCAGGAGCCTGTTTTAGATGTGGACAGAAAGGACACTTAGCTAAATCTTGCTCACAAGCTCATCCGAACAACACCTAGAAGCAAGGAAGGGTTTACATCCTAGTTCCAGAAAATGCTCGGAATACTGAAACAACTGACGCGTGTATTACCTTAACTATGTGCAATTGTCTATATGGGAATTTGTGTGGGAATCATTCGTTTCTTAACTTCATATAGATTGTGGGAATGTTGACTGAACCAATTGAATTATTAGAATTATGAACCCTAGTTATTGACTGTCTCGAAGACTTACTAACTTTATATGAGATGCTCGAAACCCTATAATGAATCACCTGAGTTTTGGGAATTATTGGGACTTATGAACAATGAGAAATTGCCGGGTTAAATCTTCGTACCGTATTGCAAAACTTTAATATGAACTGTTAGGTGCAACCTTTTGAATTATGCTAGAACTATTGGCCATGGGAACACATTATGATTGACTTTAACTTGGGAAAATCTGTATGACCATGACTTGAATTGAACCGTTATATATTGATTGACATCATCGAATGATTAGACTCGTGATCACGAATTGTATGTATGAATCAGTCACGTAGGGAATTTCTGAAATTGAGAACCTATGTCAGTTTGAAAGAATGAACTTCTGCTTGTGAATCTGCGAACGAATGCCTAAATAATAACTGATTTTAGACTCGTACCTACATGCATGTTTTCATGCTTGTAATACTATTAGAATTGATGGGGTTGAACTGTGGTTAATGAATACTTTGAGACCTACTGTTTGATGTGAACTATATGTGCGACGCTGTGGACCTTTGCTAACAATTACCTATGCTATGGAAATATTTGGACTTATGTATATGCATACTTATGCTTGTGGATGTTATTAGACTCTGGATATGTACATATATGACTATACCTTTGCTCAGAATGATTGATGTGATTATTTGTTGATAACTTGACCGTTGGGATTATGACTCTGAGAAATTGTTATATTGACTGTGACGCTTACTTCTTGATATGAACAATTACATACCTGTGCACTCACATGTGAACTTACTTGGAGAATGTAACATTGTATATGACCTGAACTTTTTGGTATGAACTATTGTGATACATAACCCTGATGTGATTTGAGAACCGAGGAATTTAGAACAACTGTAGAACTACTGACTATGCACCTAAGCGAATGGAGTATGAACTATAGAACAAATGTGCTTCGTTTGGAAATAATAAGGCTAGAACCTTTACCCGATCTAATTTGATAGAGCTGTGGTTTGATGAGACCTTTGTTTGACTGATGGAACTTCTGTTTGATGACTCACGCTTTGAACTTTTACTCGATGTGACTGGGTAGAACTTCATCTGATATGACCGGGTAGAACTTTCATTAATTTGATCTAAAGAGACCCTTATTGAAAGCCGTTATCTGATTTGATTACCTTATAAGGGATTATGAATTGTTTACGACTGAATAATAGAGCCGTGTGGCTAAGGGAACTAATCGATAAGAACTTGAATCAATCTCGAACACTTAGGAAGAATGTGAACCGTCAATAGTGGACTGTGTGATTTCAGCCAACATGTCGATGTAATATATTATCCTCTTTTATGCATTTGTAACTTACTTTTGCTTTGTTGATATGTTCCTTAAAATGTGATATTCTTTTCAAATGTAGCGTATTGCACATGCACTGAGAATTACACATCCTATCATTCAGGTTGGTTATGAGGACAGGATTCGACATCCTCATTGACTTTACCAAACTATCGAGGCTATGGCGCAGTCCTTAAAGGTCAGCACATTGACGAAGTTGGACCTAGTTCTACTGAACCTAGTTGTACTGGAGGTTGGTTTTCATTTCCGACATTGACATACAATCGTAGACCTAGTCATAGGCATACAGATAATTCGTGACATGTTATTTGTCAGTTGATGAATTTTTTGTGGTGTTTTTGTAAGCTGACATTGCTATACACATCTTTTAATGACATTATAAAAGATATTTTGTTATTAGAATGGAATGGTAACAATGGTCGATGACATTGTAAATGATATTTTCTTATTAAAATGTAATGGTAACAATGGTTGATAACATTCAATCCATGCCACAGAATGCATCAACATCGAAAAACACATCTATTAATTTCTTCCATAGTTCTGACATTGTCAAATGCATACATGTGTCATTCGACATCAACAACATTAAATGTCTCTCGAGTAGTTACAGTATCATAAATGATGTCCTTGAAATGCTGAATGTGGCGCACATATGCATCATCCCAGTCGACAGCGTAAGGGTGACGGTATTTTTGCCAATTAGTGGCTATAAGAGGAACTGGATGGCCTAGCTGCAAAAAAACCTACACCAAATGTCAATTAAGTTAGCGGTCATACCTCATAACTTCCTGTACATGTACAAAATGATAAGTTTCTCTTATGCCTGGACGAAATGATTTCCGTTGACAAATCCAATGGCGATCTCACGTCTATCAAGTTGAGGTACTGGCATTGTTCTAAGAGGTAAAAATGTGAGACATTACTGTAATGACAAGTGGTATAACACAAGATTGTAGCATGATGCAACAAGATGCCCCATGTTTTGCATAGCTATCTAATGTGAGTAGCCAGGACTCTCTTCAAAGTATGACAATATGCTTGTTAATTCTTCAAACCTTTCGTAAGACCCATAGAGTGTAATGCATTCCGCTTTGTGTGTGTGCAACTCACCTAAAAGATCACGTCTAACCTGAGCCCAATCATCTTCTGTATGACCAATTGAAACAACTATAGCCCTGAAACCATAATTCCCATCTGCAGCTACATCCTTGGCAAACTTAATGCATGGTTTCAACCCAAAAGTATTAACATATGCACCAGGTTTTACTGTTCTGGTAATGTACACCTTCCCCTTCGCATTCACCTTATCCTTTCCCTTAACAGGTCGATTCTTCTTGGTTTCTGGAATAGAAGCTAATGTAGTGATTTGAGTGTCCCAAGGTGAGAATGAATCATGCCAAATTGCACCAACTCAAATGCATACGGGTCACGACGGGTAGAAACATTGATCTTCTTCTAACCCTAAGGACGTGTTTTGGGCTTCATCTCCCACTCAACAAGAAAAGTGCTTCCCAGACATACAATCTCTTTCAACTTCTTCAAAAGCTCTAACCGCATGGTTCTATCACTTTCATTGAACTTTTTCACAAATAACTCTACTTTTGCATGACAAATCACTTTCGTTTCCTCTTCTTTGTTGCATATGGAGATATGAAGTTGCCTCCACTGTAAGTGTATGGTAACAAGTGGTATAGGACGATCTTGTCTAATGTAGTCAGCAATCTCATGGGCACAAGGTAAATCATGAGTATGGTAAAGTTGTAACGCCCCAATTTTTATGCACAAATGATAATACATTTACTTCAAATCAAAATAACATAAAACAAATAAATACCTTAATGGGTTTAACAATTTCCAAGGCTAAGGCCCGGTTACACAAATCGGTTATTCAAACCCACACAAATACAGCCATTGGCTTACAAAACAGAGTCACGCAAAATGAGAGCATTGTACTCCCAACACACATGCTTCCACGCCCCTAGTTGGGTGGAATCACCACATCTTTTCCTGCACAAAAATCCCGTAAGATGAGCATAAAGCCCAGTAGAAAATTCTTAACAAAGTATATACATTTTATACAAGTCTCAAGAGATAAAATGCACATGCCATGCTATGTCATTTTTGAAGATAAATTACAATTTCATCTTTTGAAAACCATCATGCTCAATGATGTCATGCAATTTCAATTGTTCAAAACTTAACAATTTATTTCAAAGGTGGTAAATACGTCTCTGGTAATCCCTAGGCTGGTGTCTGCAAGTAGACTATACGAGTACTACTAAATTGTCCTTTTTACCGATATTAACCAGAAGGCTCGACACCTATCCGCGCGGATTTTTCGGTCTTTCACCCCTGACCCGCAGGCCAACTTATTCAATATCATCTACACCACCTATCAAGACTTACCAACATATTTACCCCAAAATCATTTCATGAAAACTTATGACTTAACATTCTTTTCTCAATCCAAGTTTTCAAATCAACCTTCAAAGTCTAATGTAATAAAATGAAATGATATGCCAATTTCACAAGATGAACACAAATGCTTTTATTCTAATTCATCATTCAAGGAATAAACACAGTTTTCTTTTCTCAAGTATTCTCAACAATTTAGTCATTTCAAGACTATATCAACATTCTGAATAATCATTTCTAAAATGAACAGCAATTCTCATAATCCACAAAATTAATCATTTATACAAATATAAATAAGAAATTTTCTAAACATCATTTATTTTGGCACACAAAAATAAATATAACAAAACCAACCATTTTCAATCTCTTTGGCACCCATGGATTTTCAATCTCTTTTAAAATCCCAAATTTTTAGGTTTTCTCACCAAAACCAATAGTTTTCAAATATTTGAGAAGATCTCACCAAAAACATCTTTCTTTTACCAACAAAGTCCAAAACCCTCAATTTCTATTTTAAAAGAAACAAGAAAATAAACCCACTTTCAAAATCACTTATCTTCTTGAATCAAAAAAATCCATTTAAAAAAAAAAACAAATCAAAGGATGATTTCGAAAATCATCTAGATCTTGCAAAAATATATATATATAACTCAAAGAAAATCCCTACCTCAAGCTTAGGAGAGAAAATGAATGAAAACTCCAAAATTTGACGTTGCCGAAATTCAATCTCCACCGGTCAAAACGAAATTCTTGAAGTGTTCTTCAATTTGACCTTAAGAACTACATCTTTCTTTTACCAACAAAGTCCAAAACCCTCAATTTCTATTTTAAAAGAAACAAGAAAATAAACCCACTTTCAAAATCACTTATCTTCTTGAATCAAAAAAATCCATTTAAAAAAAAAAAACAAATCAAAGGATGATTTCGAAAATCATCTAGATCTTGCAAAAATATATATATAACTCAAAGAAAATCCCTACCTCAAGCTTAGGAGAGAAAATGAATGAAAACTCCAAAATTTGACGTTGTCGAAATTCAATCTCCACCGGTCAAAACGAAATTCTTGAAGTGTTCTTCAATTTGACCTTAAGAACTTTATTTCATTGACAACATGCTTTCTTGACGTTGGTGAGGACCTATTAACATATACAATCTGCATTGCTCTAATAATGGTTCCAATCAAAGGTATGGAATCATGGAACTTGGAAGCAACAATGGTGGGAAATAATTCATAGAAAAAGAAAATAGGATCAATATATGATACATGATTGGATACAACAATAGGAGCGGTCTCCCTTGGAGTAGGTCTTCCTCTACGTTTTATCCAATGGTAGCCGAAAGAGAAGAGGATACACCAAGCACAAATTCGAGTAATCCACACGAGTCTACACCTCCATTTGTACATTGGGTTATGTTTATCCTTCCAACCATGGAGAGCAAACTTGGTACCCACATATCTAATCAACAAAGACAAACCAAATAACACGAGCCGAACAATCGCAATAGGCACACAAATCAGGATCTTCAACCACTCATAAATCTCTTTAATTTGCGGCGTGTGGCTGCGAAAGGGATCGATAGTGGTCGAGGAAGGCACGGAGAGAGGTCCAGCACCGAGAAACTCAAATGGGTTCTCAATCACTGAATGGGTATTGTTAATCGGATCCGTTTCGTAGTTGTGAATTTGATTTGGGGGTTCTTCTTCGGAACCCCAATCATCGTCCACGGGTATAATCAGTTGAGGCTCGTCGGAGGGATGAGAGAGGCGGTGTTTGGGTAGTAGAGGAGTGATGGGGTCGTGTTCCGCCATTGTTAAAGCTCAAGTGAAGAGTGGAAGGTACACACATGCAGAGAGAGAGAGAGAGTGAGAGAGAGAGAGATGAGATAGAGAGCTAAGCAGAAGCAGTTTTCTTTTGTTGGAAGATGACAGCATAAACAGGTATTGTAACACCAATGCCGAAAGCAGTGAAGATAGTTAGGCTTAACTTCAGCTGCTGATGTTTCATTCTAACCAAGTTGTACATGTGTTTTGCATGAAGGTAGCACCGTTCATCATGGCCATGGCCATGCCCTCCCCCCATCCTCTTCACGCCTGCTGAATGGAACCCCCTATTCGCTGATTTGAAAAGAAATAATTCGGTTGAGGTGCGTAACTTTGAGGCGCACGATCTCAGACCATTGTAGATGCTTCGAACAAAAAGAATAAGAAAAGGGAAAAAGGAATGAGAGGAAAGGATTGGAGGGGCAGCCCCCCACGTGGTTACCTCTCTTAACACACATAAAAATATATTTTTTTCTTCCCATGAACCCCACTCCAGCACTCACTTCTCTTTTTCTTTTCTTTTTTTATCAGTCACTCCCCTCAATCTTTTTTTTTATTTAAATATTTTCCCACCGAAAGTGAGCAAGTCCCAGCTGGAATGTAACCACTCTCCCAAAGTGAGAGAGAGAGATATATTATAAAAACTCTTCCCATTCAAATTTTTCTTAGCCTCCCTCTCAAATAATTTTCCACCAACCCAAAAAGATTTTCCTCATGCTGACCGTACACGCCAAACAATCACCACCACATTTTATTTTTATTTTTTATTATTATTATTATTATTATTATTATTTTTGAATCTTTACAGTAAAGGACACATCCATAAGCTTCAGCATCAATACCAATGAAATTGGCTCTTTTACCCTCTACAAGCAAATACTCTAATGCAGAAATAGACACATTACCTCGTAGCTCCCTAAATTGAGAAGACTTGAATTGATGTTGCATAACAGTTAGACTTTTCTCAAACGAAGCCTTGATATCAGTATGTTGCAACTCAAGCAAACTGTGTATTTTCTCAAATGATGCCTCAAATGAGACTTGATATGAACCCAATTGTCTTTTAAGTTTTGCATGTGTACTCTCAGCCCTGTTCAATTCAATGCAAGTCAAATAAAAATCAAGTACATGACACTTATTAATAACTTATTGAACAAAAGTAATCTTACCAGTTGGTTATAAGATTGCTACAATGCATACACGTGTCTGTCCATGCCGCCACAAATTTCTCCTTGTAAGGAACCAACCAAGTACCCATGACGTAGTTCACTGCATCAGGATAACTATTAAATTCCTTAAATAATGATTTAAGACGCTCATCGTATTGAATTTTAGAAGATGAATACACTAAAGAGTTCCACTCGTGGTTGAACTTCTCCCATTTCTGTTTTGTCTCAAACATTTTCTTGCATTTGGTCAATACATTCTTACTGATATGCCAACGACATAATAAATGTCTGCCACTCAGGGATATCTTCTGTATGGCATTCATCAAGGCTAGCTCTCTGTCAGTGACAATAATCGCTGGCAAAACAAAACTATCCATGACATCACGCAATGTAGTTAACACCCACACATAGTTATCGACCCTCTTAGACTGTAAGTATTCGAAAGCTACTGAGAAAGTTATTTCAATTGATGTCACTTCCACAATTTCAAGAAGAGAAAGACGATATCTGCTGGTTTTATATGTGCAATCCATAATCAATATAAGTGGAAAAGACTAAAATAAGTCCAAACTAGTAGGATGTACCCAAAACAAGTCTGTCATAGTCATCGTGGACTCTTCATATCGATGGCGCTCAATGTAATTATACTTGGCCCATTCACTCAATAAGTGTTGCATCTGTGATCTTCCAGCTCTTTCTACCATCCTGTTTCGATGGCATACATTGTAAATGGTTTTAAGTGTGCTTATATTGAGGGCATCTCGCTGTTTCAAGGTTACTAGGATCTCTTTTGGCCTAACCATGCTCTTTGACATATCCCTTAATAATGCTTTCTCATCCTTTGATAGCCTCCCCACATATGAATGTCCCTCAAGGTGCTCCGCAGGTGGATGGTTATGCAATCTACATACTACGGTCAATGTCCATTCATCATTTGTGGTAAACCTGTGAGCCCTTATATCAAAAGGACAACCACACTTCTTCGTACCAGTTATTCTTGATGTATTGTTGCATTATGTTTTAACTTCTTTGTCACTCTATATTGGCCACTCCTCTCACAAGTAAGATACATCCTAAGTCTTTTTTTCCCTCTACCATAGTCTGATGTTTTGATTACAATAACCAAACCATTTCTCTTTCCAACTTCACGTACCCAATTGAGTAATTCATCCTTACTTTTAAATACCTACAAGTCAAATAAATATTATAAAACATTTATATTTGTTGAGCAATTCAAAACACAATCATTATAATTTCGTAGAGTGAACCTGTTCAGTTATGAATTGAGTAATGTAATCCAACACACTATCCGCGCAAACCTGACTTCCTTGAGTTGAGACATATTCCTGCATGTTTTGTATAACATTACAAATTTGAAATGGTATTATAAAGACAAATTTGTAATTTGAAACTGCAAATTTAGTATGCAATTTACGAATTTGGAATATAAAATGGAATTATTTTTTTTTACTTCATTCGGACGTATAGTATCGAACAAAATGATACTGTTCAAATGTAGTTGTCCGAATTATTTTTATCGGTTCAGAAGTTGAATGTCAAAAATTTTCAATTATTTCGAATAGAAAATTCCGAAATTACATAATTATTTTGGTAGTAGACTACCGAATAAATTGATATATTTTGACCTTGGTTATCCGAAAGACGTTGGCGGAAAAAAAAAAAAACGACTTTTACATAGCAAAATTTACATTTCCTTGGCTATCTTTCTCATAAACATTTACCTATTTCTGAAAATCTGAATTTTCAGAAGGGAAATCTTCCATAACAATGATGAATGAGGATGAGGTTTAGTATGTAAACTAATTAAAAACTAAGAATCAAGAATGAGGGTGTTTAGTGTGTGTAAACTAATGAATGGAAACTAACAATGAAGGGTTTGAAAGGATGAGGATGGAATGTGGAGGTTTAGCAAACTGAGTATGGAAGAATAGAGTAGCTACCATGGACTTGTGAGCTTCAGTAGCTTCAACATGGAAGTGGATATGGATGTGCAATGAGAAGTTGTGTTTATTGGAATTTTGTACGATATCCATAATAATAATTTCACTTAGGGATAAAATTGTAATAAAAATAAATATCATTAAGTGTGTGCAAAGAGTGGAAGGAGTGTGTGCAAATAGAAGCTCCCTATCATCAATTGTTTTTTGCAAAAATCCTAAATTTACCCTTTTAATTTCTCTCAGACTGTCAATAACCAGGTCATCTTCCTCACATTCAAACACTGTCAAATCTTCACTTTAATTTCTTTCACCTTAACTACCAATTATTGATCTTTGTTGTGTTTCAATATATATATATATATATATTAGTTTCTTTGTTTCCCTCTTAGATGAATCGAGTCATTTTTGAACTATTGAAATTGCACAGATTTGAGTTCGAAGCTCACTTTCTCTCTTTCGAAACTCTCCAAGAAGTTCAAATTTGACACTAAAAAGATCATAATGTTAATGATGCAGAGCAAAGCTATATATAGATCATGGGGAGGAAATAGGTATGAGGATGGGAGTGGCGAAAGAAGAGTCAAGGGTTATCGACGGTGAGAAGGAAGTGTGTGGTGGAGAAACTCATACCATTTGTCCAACATTTACCCAAAAAAATTGTAGTGAAAATATTCAGTTTTGATAAATTGACAAGCCTTCTTTTGTATAGAATAAGTGAAGCACGGGGTAACTTTCTTGTGCATGTTATACTAGAATTCAGTGTTTTTGGATTGTAATGCCTTTGTACAATTTTGGTCTTGATTTTGAATTCTGCAATAATGGTTTGTAGGACAAAGATGGAGATAATTAGGGAAGAAAAATTAGAGAAGTTGGTTAGGATTTTATTTTTTTATTTGGTGTTGAAGGGTAACTTGGTAATTTTTACTTCTTCTATTAATTTTAACAGTAGGTAAATGTTGACAAGGAGTGAAGTGTAATTTTCAAAAATGTAGAGGGAGTATCTGTATTAAATCTAAACCGCATGGGCAGTGTCAATGTAATTTACCCTAAAAAAATGTATAAAAAAAACGTTTATAATCTATTCATTAAATATACATCAAATTAAGGAAGAATTATTTTTTCATGTAATTGAGAATTTATCATATCTCTTGAGGCATCTTCAACGGTGTATCAAATTTTTTTCCAAATTTGAAGAAAAACTCTCTTTGATATCAAGTGCTCCAACGGAAGGTTTTGTGGCTTCGTCAAACCACTGGTCGACCGGGCGGATGTTTGGCTGGTCGACCTGCTAGTGCAAATTTTTCACAATTTTTCTTCTTGAGGTGCTCATCCGGGGAGTCGACCGGGCAAACGACTAGGAGGACGACCGGGCAGTGTAATTTTTTCACAAACTTTTGCCTTGAGGTGGTCATTCTTGGAGGACATCCGGAGGGACACCCGGTGGTGAAAATCCAACGCTAATAAACAGTGATTTGATGAAAGACATATTGGTCCTCAGTTTGATAAAAGAAAAGTAAAATCTTGGATGTGATACTGATTTGATGAAACCGTTGGAGCTGAAAAAGGAACAATTTTTCATCAAATTCAAATTTGATGATAAATTTGAGATTGGAGATGGTTTTATTAGATTAAAATTTGATGAAAAATAAAAATTAAAAAGATGAGCACTGGAGATTTTTTTTTAATATCAAATTTGATTCAAAATGAAATTTGCAACTTATAATATTTATTTATGATATTAATTATATAATGGTGTTAACTTATAGTATTCAAGTACTTTTTATATAGCGTTCCTGGTTTAGACCCGACCCGTTGATGTTTTGAATTTGGATTTCATCTGTCTTATTTAGATATTCATATCTTGCTTTTCCTTATTTCTCATTGAGTTTGGATATTCGAGTGTCTTGGTTGTGTTTGAGACAGGTTGGTTGCTAGTTGGTTCAAATTGTTGTTGTCCAGAATTTGGCCTCTTCGTTCAAGCAAAGCTTCTTGCACTCGAGCGAGATTT